ACACTTTGAGCCCTGAAGATGATCTCAATAAAGATCGAAACGTTGGCACGATAAAGAAAATGTTTTTCTAAACATCTACATCGCACCAGATCGCATCTCACGATTTCCGAATAATCATGGACTAACGGTCACTAATCACCACACAAAATAAATCATGAATTCATTACATCTACAAAATATTTTGGTTTGATAAATTCAATAAAAATTAATACACATAACATATGAGGACAAGACCTAAATACCTAACACATCCGTAATCAAAGTTGAAGCGAACAAAGAAGAAAAGAAGGACAGAACTAGTGGAGGGTGGATAAGCAGCGCCGGGAAATTTGGGAAACGAGAGGACGAAGTCTGATTAAGGAAAATCCCAAGGTTCTTGACCGCGGGACGTAAAGAAATAGGGGGCTAATCGTGGGATTACGGAGGGATGGGGGATAAAGAATGGAAGAGGGACCCGTCTCCAAACAATAGCCTGGGAATTTTACTTTGAAGCTAAGCCCGTTTTCAACCAGGAGCTAATTAATTTAAGCCGTCAATTTTTACTTTCTTTAAGATCTTCTCAACATACATAATACAATAAATTGATAATATAAAATTGCAGATATGTGTTAAATTTCAGAAATACTAATTAATACAATAAAAATACGAGTTATTGGTTAAAAAGAAACTAGTAGAACTACTTCATCAAATTTTTAAGTCATATGACCTGATTATACTCACAATGAAAATAGGAAATCGTTACATAATTACACCGATATGATAATATGTAATTTTTTTTTATAAAAACAATTGTGTGACTACACTGTTCGACTTTTCACCTCATTATTCATTATGATTTTATGAACGTTTTGTCGGTTTGCGTTTTCTTCAAAAGGAAGCGGAGGGTCTTATGAAATTTTAATGCAATCATAAGCCCGCTTCGACTAATAAAAAATTAACCCGAGTTGCAACAGAAAATTGACCAAACGTCGAAACGAAGTTCAAAAGATCTTTACTCGCTAAACTTTTCTCAGTTTTTGACGGCAAAAGTTTGTTGGAAAAGGAATAATTTATAGTACATACCAGTTTTGATTTTTATAAAGAACAAGGTTTTTAAATAACTAAATTATATATCGAGTAGAGAGACGAAAGTGGGATCGTTAAAAAACGATCATTAATGATTACTTTTTTAAGTATTATAGAAGTCGAATATTGGTGTGGTATAAAATTGTAGTCTGTGGTGGTGGTGTGTGTGACTTTCCATCGCGGAATTAGTCACGGTTAATATTTAGGATTAATTAAGCACACAATTAAACAATTGTGCAAGAACATATAATAAATCTCATTGAGAAATTTGTGGTGTTTAGTGACTGTTAGTTAATGGTTATTTGGAGATCCTGAGGTGCGGTCTGGTGTGACGTAAGTTTTAGAAAAAAAATTTCTTTATCGTGCCAATGTTTCGATCCATATTGAGATTTTCTTCAGGGCCTGGGATTTATAAACATTGTTATATTTTACAAATACATGTAGGACGTAAAGAAAAAAAATGAATTTATATAATGGTAGAAATTTTATATTCAATCAAAATATTTGTACTCACTCAAAGTGTTTGTTTTCTGTGTAAATCGGTCATTCTTGTGTTTTGAGAGTACCAGTGAAATAGTGATGTTTTATGTTTATATACGTTGGATTTTGAAGGAGTGGGGAAGGAAGTCGGGATAGAAAGACATTTTATATGAGTATTCGGCTTCTTTGAGGTAAAAGGAGCCGACAATGGAAAAAAAAGGGTAATGGTTTGGCCTGTTTATCTTTACAGGATTATATAGACGAGGATAATTTGGAAAAGGCAAGCCAAATTGTTGAAAAATTAGACTTTGAAGAAATGTTTGATGTAAGGAATGTAATGACTGTTTTATGTGTCATATGTTTTGTGACGTGATGATGATATACAATATACTACCTACATCGAATTTGATTAATGATATTAGCGTAGCTGCGACTGAGTTTACATGTGTCTTGTGCTGTAATTGATGATGTGTTTATCCTTGTTGATGTAAACCATTTTTAAAAAGTTACGTTTCTGTTAGTTTTGTTCTGTGAGAAATATTTTTGGATTGTTGAAGTCGAAATTGTAGCCTTGTAAAATTTAAACATTGTTTATAAATCCCAGGCCCTGAAGATGATTTCAATAAAGATCGAAACGTTGGCAAGACAAAGAAAATGTTTTTCTAAAACCTAAGTCACACCAGACCGCATCTTACGATCTCCAAATAATCATAGTTTAAAACGACTTCAGATAACCCTTTAACGTTTTCATATAAATTATAATCTAAACAAACAATTAAATAGCCAAACATGAATAAAGAGATGAAAGAAATTTTCGTGCAATTTCAAATCGAATTGAGTATTTAAATGACTGTACACAGACTTTTAACGGTTGCAGATATGAAAGTCGAATTTACGGTGGCTGCACTGTTCTCATTAGGCTTAAATTGGTTTATTTCGCACCAAATTAACTTTCGTTAAAAGTCCGTCATAACTGATAGACATGAGCGTATCGATCTCAGAAGACTTTCTGTAAGAAGTTTGGGAAATAAGAAACGAGCTCCTTCTCTGTTGGAAGTCAGAAAAATATGCAATAAATAGGAACGATAAGCTTATCTTTAAAGACATTTTTAGGTTCACTGGTAAAGCCAAGATATAAGGACTTTATAAAAATAATATGAAAAAAACAAGTCGGCAGAAATATAAAGTAATGAATTTTTTATTGCATTTTTGTCATGGATTCTAGTTTAATATTATCACAAATAATAATGGAAACTACACATACTTCCGGTCGTACAACTTAATGATTGTCTAGATAATTGTGTAAATATATACGTATTATGTTAATATGTATGAAAGGGTTAGGTTTTACTTTTTGTTTAGTTTTTGCGAAAGTTTTCATTAAATTCCCTAGTTTTCGTGGTCCGCTTGACCAATTAATACCCTTCAATTAATTAAGGATTTTAGTTGAGATAAAAAAGTCAGTGTCTCGAGCGGAAAAATGACAAAAAGGAGGGAAAATTCAAAAGGTGGGGTGTTGGTGTCCGAGTGTGAATGTTAATATGATTTTATAAGTCACAAATATTTAGTTTAATTCGAATATGGTACTAGTAACAAGCTATAAAAGTAAAAAAGAAGAATTTCCTCACGGCTTAGAAAGGGGGATTAACTCTTTTGTTGTATGGGGTCTTAATCTTTCACGCCCATTTATCCTTATTCTGATGTCAAAGTTTTATTTATTATAAATTTATTACGAGTATGAGGACACCCAATACTGTACTACGTAAATCACTTCCACGTTTCTTTTTTTCGTTACTCACTGTTTAGAAAAATAGGAATAAAATTGTTTAAATTATATTTTATATATGGTTTGTTTTAATTTGTTCGAAAAGTAGTCTACAAAATGTAGGTGACTAGGTCCAATCAATTGAGGTTTGAAAGAAAATTACGTTTTAGACTTTAGAAAAGTTAAATATAATAAAAAACTAAATTCATTAATTTCATTGTCCGCTTGAGCAATTAATATATTACAATTAATTAAGGTTTTTAGTTGAGATAAAAAAATCAATGGCACGAGCGGGATTCGAACCCACGATCTTCGGCTAGATACGCCGCTGCTCAACCACTTCAGCTATCGTGACCTCGATCCACTCGGACACTACTTCCCATCTCAACCCCACGTTTTGAATTTTTCCTCCTTCTTGCCATTTTTCAAATGTCGTGTAATCGGATTGGATTCTCGACGACAAATGAAATGGCCACGGAGAGCTTTAGTAAAGTATACTTCATTTTTAATCATTAAATTCATTAATTTCGTGGTCCGCTTGACCAATTAATATATTACAATTAATTAAGGATTTTAGTTGAGATAAAAAAGTCAGTGTCTCGAGCGGAAAAATGGCAAAAAGGAGGGAAAATTCAAAAGGTGTGGTTGAGGTGTGAAATTGGAGTCCGAGTGGATCGAAGTGACGATAGCTCAAGTGGTTGAGTAGCGGCGTATCTAGCCGAAGGTCGTGAGTTCGAATCCCGCTCGTGACACTGACTTTTTTATCTCAACTGAATACCATAATTAATAGAAGTTTTCATTGAAGACACTTTGTGATTTGGCGGTAACCGACTCTCTCTATTTTTAAATCGTATTGCTAGCCTCTCTTTACTTTAACGCCTGGTTAATTCTGCACAAGCAAAAAACATAAACACATATAATAATAAATTACATTCATACATGATATTTGGTTCACACTAACCCAGAGCACTCGATCTTCCTTGGTGTAATTGATAATGAGCCCCCATTCAAGCTAGTAAATTACGGGTGTGTGATGTTCAGTGACCGTTACTTGATGATTTTTTGGAGGTCGTGAGATACTGTCTGGTGTGACGTAGGTTTAAGAAAAACATTTTCTTTATCGTGCCAACGTTTTGATCTTTATTGAGAACATCTTCAGGGCTCAAAGTGTTTTTTCCATGTCGATGTGTCATTCTTGTCTGTCGTGTTGAGAGTGACTAATAAATTACATGCACATACATTTATTCACTTTGTTGTTAATTAAATAAAGAGAAAATTGAGTTGCGTCCAATGAACGGTCATTTACTTTAAATATCAAATTGCTAACAATTTATAAATGCTTTGTATGGATAAAAAGAAAAACGTGTACGTATATCCATGCCTACCTAGATGAGACCTGAAATATGTTTTTCTCTATTTACCCTTGATCAATTAAAGTGCGTCCAATCGTATTTGCCAAGCTCGTAGCCTGGGTTCGGATCCCGACATTGGCGTTTGAATTATATTTTCAAATAATATGGAAAAATGATCGTAAAATGGTTTGAACCACTCGCTCAAGAAGGCAAACATTTATATTAAATTATACAGGTGTAGGGGCAGATCACAGGCGCATAATAGTTCAAATTGGAAATTTTAATTGAAAAACTCCTATGAGCTAAATTTTCATCCTATCAAAAATTAAGCCATTAAATACAGAAATAAAATAGCCAAAAATTTATTCAAAGTGTGTTCTTTAAGGTTATTGACGAAGGTGATTCTGTTTGAAGAAACGTGTTTTCCCCTGCGAAAGAATACAACATTAATCTAGATGTACGAGTACATCCAGAATGGTTTTCACTTACCGTGCTTGCACCGATCCTAAACATGTGAAACGTGTCGTAGATTTGGCCCACCACAAGGAGGGCAAGTATGAACATTACCGAATAGGTGATATCGACTTGGGAGCATTCGTAGTAATTCTTCAAGAGCAGAATCGCGGCGCATCCGATCATAGCACTCAGTGCCGATGAGATCCTAATGAAATTTGGCGTCTTCTCGGACTTAAAACGCTTTTTCAGGAACGCTTTCTTTTCGTACACGGGCATCTTCTGCGTTTCCTCTACCATGAACTCGGTGAATTTATCGTGCACCGTCTGCACAAGATCGTGCTTCATTGGTTTGAATGACTTCATTGGTCGTCTTTGTCACTTAAAATTTTGACTTTGATAAGTATGAAAATTTTTCAATGAAGACCATATGTTTTAACGAAACATCCAAACATTGTAATTTTCTTTCTGACTTTGGATCAGAAGGACATGTTAATAAATCTCAAAGCTAATGAATAAGCATGGAAGTATTCGTACTGTACTGTAATCTAATTAATTTTTACAAACTGTTTTATTACACCTCAGCTAAAATATCAAGCAATATTTTCTAAAAATAATATGTAATAATTATATTACAACCTGATACATATTGAAGACATTTAGAAACATGTACTAAATCAATCATCTAAAAAACATATATTACAAATAATACTCTTTGTACAGTCGACCTTTATGAGTTTCTTATCTGACGAGATTGCCCATTAAAATCACTTAACTACCATCTAAACGTACAAAATTATAAATCGTTTAACGATAGTTTTTTTCCTTGATGGAACATATTATTCAAAGAAGAAACATTGAGGTGGATGTATCCAAAAGTAACCAGAGGCACCCAACACGACCTCAACGAACGGGCAGGGAAAATAACCGGAACTACAAAAATGACAAACTTACATATTCATAGTTTGAAATAAATTACAAAAAATATGAGTATTCTGTTCTAACGCTGTTTGACAAAAATGTGTAATTTTATGAGCAAAACCATGAAATAAATTGTTGGTTAACTTTTATGATCAACACCGTATAATATATCGTTTGTTAAATTCATGATATCAAAAAATGGTATTCCGGTGTTTTGATCAATTTTCTACCAAACCATTAAAAAAATTTTAAATAAAAATTAACGAATTTTTAATCTTGGTTAATTTGGTTTATACTACAATAAGTTCGATGTAATTAATACATCGATAATAATACAAGTAGTTTGAATAAAAATTTGAGCGTCCGGTTATTTTGTCTTCGACTGTACTTGATGCTACCCGGCGCAAATCTGGACAGTGGGGATCGCGTAGCGTAGAGTAGGGTAGCGTTGAGTGGCATCGGGCAGATGTGCACGGGGGTAATACAATCTTATGGAAAAGTGCACTTTGTTTTTGCGTCGGGTAGCATCGGGTAGCGTTGCATGGAGTAAGTGTGTTACCCGCTTTAAAAATTGAGTTGAGTGTCTCGTAGAACTCTAGTCCATATGGGTGCATGCTTTTTCTCAGCTTTTATTTAAGAACGGCTATCATGTACGTTTGATCATGTTATATCTCTTTATGCTGTCTACACGTTTTAGTCAAGTGGGTGGGTTCCAGTTTGGTCAAGGTGTGAGCCTATGTAGGTCATGCGATTTGTTAGAATGGAAGTTTTTAAATAACTTTCAATTAATTAAGGTTTTTAGTTGATATAAAAAAAGGCAGTGTCACGAGCAAGATTCGAACACACGACCTTTGGCTAGACACGCCGCTACTCTGCCACTTGAGCTATCGTGACTTCGATCCTCTCGGACACTAATTTCCCATCTCAACCCCACCTTTTGAATTTTCCTTCCTTTTTGCGTTTTTCATTTTTATCTCAACTAAAAACCTTAATTAATTGAATGAAATTAATTGGTTAAGCGGACCACGAAGAATAGTGAATCATTTACGTGGAGGATCATATAGAACACTTAGGGACCATGATAAACAGACGGGTTAAACTTCGTCTGTCGTCTCCAGGAAGCATAGAATAGCTTCAAAACGCTCTTGGTGAAGAATGGGATTCTATGTCACAAGACGAAATCCGATCGATGTTGTAATTAATATAACGTTAAAAATGCAATATGTTACAAATATCGCAGAGCGTAGATTAGGGTAGCGTTGCATAGCATCGGGCAGATGTGCACGGGGGTAATACAACCTTATGGAAAATTGGACTTTGGATTTGCGTCGGGTAGCGTCGCATGACGTTGCATCGGGTGTGTTCCCGGATTTAACCTCTGTTCTGCTCAGGAATACAAATAGTCTAATTTTAGATCCATTAAGAGGGTGCTTTTTGAATATGTGGTTAAAAACCATAACATCAAAATACCTGGAAAAGTCATCATCGCCAAACCCCCAGAACCAAATATGCTAAGGGAAACATCCCCATCCCCCACCCGCCCACAGCAACCGACACACCTCTTCCTGGAAAACACTAATGAGTATTAAAATCATTTTCAAAATTTTAGTAGAGTTATAAACAAATTTTTGTAAAAAACTAGGGAAAACTAGAGTGTTATTTAGGGATAAATGTGACTTATAATTTATGTGTTTTTAAGGCCTTCATACTTTATAATTTATCTAACAATCAACTCCTTTAACTAAATACTTTGAACAGACGTGATCTTAGTTTCCAAATTTTCAGGTATTTTTCAAAATCCATTGCTGATTCATTTTGTTTAGATATTTTCCACAAATTCTAACATTCTAAGCCTATTTATGATTGCAATCTCTCTTGGACAACGGAACATTCTGAAACCAAGGTTTATTACATAAATGAGGATTAATGGAAATGCAGAATGGTATAGTTTGTATACTTGCATCATACCTCCGCCACTTTATCTCTTTTCTGGTTTTAATTGTACTTTTGGCATGGAATGCACGGAATGGTGGTAGAGGAAACAACACCACTCAAGAAAAAAAAATCCAGGCTACAGTATGGATATTATCTGACTTGAGATTAAAAATTTTTAAACTTTCTAAAGAACCCTTTGAATCCGATAAAACCAATTAATTAATTCACAATTAATATCTTCTTTACACAAATATTTTTTGGCTTCAAAATACAAAAACGTCCAGCAGAATATATACTGAACTCTGGAGGTAGTTTATATTTTGCGTGTTTACTTTTCTATACGTCGTGCCAGTCGTATCCTAACCATGCTCCACTTTTGTTCCGTTCATGAATAAAAGTATGGAAATGAACATAAAAACGAAATATCACAAATAAATACTGAATTGAGAGAGACAGATCGGACCTCAGAGAAATTCTTCAGTGATGCAATACTCAGTTTTAACAAAAATTATTCCAACTCTACTGCATAATTGGGCCTTAAAAAAATTCAGAAATTTTAATTGATCAAAAAAATAACGAGTGTTAAATGATAGTTAATTATTACTCAATTTTTCCTCTCTTATAACCTTTCTCCCAGCGAATCACCATGTACTTCAGTTAATATGTAATGGTTTTCCTTTTGTCAGTCATTATTTTACCGCAGATTACTACTATCATTAGACAAATCTACCATTACGGGTTAATTACATTTCAGCAAAATACATCACCGATTGATTTATATTTATACAGGACGTTAAAATGGGACTGTGTGAGGTTGAGCACTAATACTCCCATAGATGGACGGGAGAACGAAGTACGTTGTAAAATAAAGTATCCACGGTAGGCACAACTTAAAATTGGGCGTCTCTCGAGCTAGATTCGTCCTCGCGCTTAATCAGAAATTGAAATTAGGCGCCTAAAGGATTAATGACGTTCTTCCGATTACTGCAGTTAGTTCATCGCCGAGTAGATCGAAATCCTCTCTTATCGTTTCTCTGTAAGGAAAATTAAAGTGTTATCAGGCGAAATAGCCTTTTCTTTAAAATCATCCTCATTCAATTACAGATAAGTGTATTTAATTTCAGTTTATGTTAGTCAATCTGTTTTTCTATTTATTTCTTGATTGCAAGTAGTTGTACTGTTTGGTTTTAAGTAGATACAGGTTTTAACCTTTTGTTTTCTTCGAGCAAAGTGCTTGTTTCTTTTATAAAAGTAAAATTAAATAATGAAATCTCACTGTATTTGCCATTGTATCTCCCCTACAGGAAATTATAGAACGCTAAGGAATTGTTAAACATGATCGAGGACGCTAGTGTCAAATCCCAAACTAGAGCCCGTTTAAAATGCAAACCCGTTGCCATGAACTTCGTTAAAATGCAAACCCTAACAATCTATTAATGTTTAATTCAATTATTACAGAGTGGCTACCAACGGTAGCTTTCTCTATAAAGCCAATAATATCACACTCACAAATTGAAATCCAATCTGTTGGTCGTGTATAATAAATAAATGAAATAAAAAAATATTTGTAGTGTTTTATAATTTGTTGTTTTTTTTGTGTCCAAATATCTTATTTAACGGTACTGCTTCTAGATGGTAAGATTATATTGTTTCATAACCCCTTTGATCGCATCTGGGTAATCAAACTTTCTATTATCAGCCAATTATTTATTTTTGTTCTGTACTTCATCCAAACTATGACTGGAACGTGGTCACAAAATTCTTATGCCCAGAAGAAATGAATGAATGTAAGGTTGTTAAGTATAACAGTAGGGTGCGTCGGAGGCCGCAACGGTTTACTTGTAGACAAGGCCATCATCGCTGTAAGGTAGTGACATGCGATACTAGAAAGTATTCGATACCAGTACTCGAAACTGGTAACGAAAGAAATATACGATATTACTCAAGTATCGACAGAAATTATTTGGTACTAATGAGTACTTACTCATATGATACTTGTCGATTATTTTTATAATCATAAATGATCAACTTACTCACTAACGGCTTGTTGGTAAAATATGCTCATGCGTTAAAATAAACAAAAATTTGGAATTTTTTCATAATTTTAAGTATTTTTTCATACAATGGGTACGTAGGTAAGAACACAGAAAAGCTGTCAACACATTTCAACAAAACTGATATTTCAAGTTTATCGTTATTTATTCAGAAATCGTGAGATGCGGTGTGATGTAGGTTTCAGAAAACATTTTCTTTATCGTGCCAACGTTTCGATCTTTATTGAGATCATCTTCAGGGCCTGGGATTTACAAACATTGTTTACATATTACAATTACATTTTGGATGTAGACAAGTATACAATGCAAAATATATTTTTTATATTCAATCAAAGTATTTCTACTCACTCAAAGTGTTTGTCTTCTGTGTAATTGTGCCATTCTTGCGTGTCGGGTTGAGAGTGCCAGTGAGATTTTGCTGTTTTATTTTTATATACGTTGGATTTTGAAGGGGTGGGGAAGGAAGTCGGTATAGAAAAGACATTTTTGTATAAGGCGTCGGTTTCTTTGAGGCGAAAAGAGCCGACGAATGGAAACAACGAGTTGGTAATGGTTCGGCCAGATTATCCTTTT